AGCTGTGGCTTAAAATTCCTGTGGGCATTATACTACTTGAAGGCCTTTAACAGTACTGGAGTGGAAAGCCCTGTGCTGTTCCACATTGTTGAGTCCCATGGCCTATAACTTGAATGATGGCATTTCATTTTTCCTTCATTTTGTTGTATTTACAGCCATCTTTGAAGGTGAAAAAGAAATTAAGATCGGTGTGGTTGTCTGTGTCCGTATGAACTATCTGTCAGTTTTTTTTTTTTGAAGAGAGACGATATATTAAAAAGGTGGATAAGGCAAGTTAGATGTCTAATTCTCCTTGTGTGCATCCATTCGTATGGCATCGAATGTTGCTAATCTCTAAATCTGTGTTCCATGAAATTTAGCTATAAATCATGGTGTTTCATGCGCAGGCACGGTTTTTTGCACCAGATAGAGCCAAGGCACTTGTAGATCGATATTCAAGATAATTACCAAATTATTATTGCCCAAGTAGGTGCGCCATACAGTTCTTGACCATTGAAGTTCTGTTGCATAGACGTCAAGAATTTCCAGACGCAATTTTGTTCAAAAACTCATCATATGGGCTGTGGAAGAAGTAGATGATAGTATTTTGGAAAAAGGTTGCTTAGGATTATTTTGCATTAGATTCTAATTTTTCATGTTATGTAATTTAATGGATTGGTAATACTACACAACCACAGTTATCAAAATGCTTAGGCTTGGCTTGACTTTATTCTATCAGACTTGGTGGAAAAGGAGGCGGCTTATTAAGTTTTAACTTTTATCATTTTACTTGGAAATTATGAAGTATAAAAAAAAAAACTTGTAATTGGAAGTCACAGTCCAAACTATATATTCTGTTACCAAAGTTTTATCATTCAATACCAATTCAAATGTACCTTGGCTAAAGGAAAGGCATAATTCTAACATTCTCAATGGAAATTACATTTAATTTTACATCAATAAAATGCATTTTCCCAGTTTCCCACTACAAATTTCGCAATATCCCAAGAAACCCACCAACCAAATTCAACAAAAAATCGCAAAAACCCCAAAAAAAAAAGAATAAAGAAAAAGGGCAGAAAAAAAACAGAACAT